TGCAAATGCAGTGCCAAAAGGTGCCAGGAAGATAACAATGTAAGCAATGAGGGCTGGATGGAATAGGATAAATCCCAGATGACACTCGCTTTCCTTTGGTGGATGCAACACAGAGGGGTGAGAACCAGCACAATCTGCAGCACTCAAGCCCCTGCTGAGGTAGGACTCACCCAGCCAGCCTGTCACCATCAGGACTGCAGGGACAGGGCTTCCAGACCTTCTGATTCTTTGAGACAGCTAGGACATTCAGACCTTTACGTGAAATCTAACATTTAAACACTGGCAACACATATTGAACATATATTAAGGGCAAAAATTAACCCAAACACACATGATCTCCAAGCTGTTTGTGAGCAAGTTTATTCTAAGAGATGCTGATTGGGGAACTTGGTGTAAGGGAAAGAATCAGAAAAATTTGGTTTTTACATAATTTAGTGCTCCTGGATAAATTACTTGACCAAGCTGAGATAATAATATATTGCTTTACTAGGATTATGAGAGGATTAAACACAGTGACATTTTTGATATATTATAGTACTCAAGAAATTGTAGTTATTTCTGCATTGAATTTTCGGATGTTTTGTGTTTTCTGATGGAGTGTCTAAATATCTGTTGTGAAATTATATTGTTTTCCTTGACAATTAGGAAATAATAAACATTTCAGATGTTTAGTGTTGAGAAGCACTAAAGAGCGGTGGTTAGTTCTTTAGAGTTAAGAGTTTACTCTGCCAAGCACTTTGGCTAAGTGACTGGTGACCTATAAATCAATACTAAGATGCTCACAGGAACTCTAGTATCCAAAAATGATTTCATGAAGTCAGGAATTATTCTGCAATGTAAAAAATCAACCCCCTAATTAATCTTCTTTAGAAGTTCTGATTCTTATGTACTACAATGAATTTTCTTGATAATGAGACCCATTTGTGTTCATTTTTGGCTATTTTACAGTTAATAACTCAGTCCTTGGGGAGTGGCTGAAAGCTGAAATAATAAGAACTCTGGAGCTGCTTCATTTCTCAGTTCAGAAGTCATTCCTACATCTTACGTAGTTCTTCTACTATCTGGCTTTAAAATTATGGCATTTTGAAGTTAGAAGGGCCTCATAAGTCAGTCTAGTTTCTTCTACTTTGGGAATTTTATCCTCTGGCATCCATTATAGTCAGTATTCCAATTACAAGTGTGTAGCACTAGGACCAAGGGAATCACTTTTTCACAGGGCTCCTCATTCTATTAAACCACTCTCATTGCAGAAAACTATTTCTTGCACAAAGCTGGAATCAATATTCCTGCAGCGTCCTTCATTCGGCCTTAAAATTATTTAGAAATCTCTCGGTCTTTAGAAGTCGATGGAATGAGCACAATTTTAATTATCTCTTGGCTTGCGTGTTTTAAAAGGAAAGGTGACCCATCTTTGTAAGTATTTGTTGAATGCACGTGATAGGGGAATGACAATGTCCAGCGCCTACCTGGGTGACTAAGAGGGTTCTAAAGTGAGTGGTCCTAACATAAAACTGAACTGCAGGGGGAGCCACACTCCAGAGAGTGTCCACCCAGCTCCCTTCCGGTATAGGAGAATGCACTCAACTACTGCTGGTTGAGAATTAGAAAGATACTATATGACTTTGCACATTTTCGAATATAAAAAGACCTTAAAGACCATCTATTTTAAACTCTTTTGATTTACCCACAGTTATTCTACTTTTCAGCTCATCAACTTGGTGTGGACAGCAATTTCCGCTGCAAATTTGAGATGCCTAGGGTGTTTTCTAAACGATGCATATGTAAGCCCTCAGTCCCTGAGATTCTGATATAATTAGCCTGGAATCTGGTCCAGACAAGAGTAGTTTGAAAACTTTCCCAGGTGATTCTAATGTGTAAACAAGGTTGAGAACCACTGTGTTAGGGACCGCAGAGATGAGAGCCTCATGTCCACAGGTGTATTAGTTTAACAGGGAAAAAGGAGAATAAGGAGATGAGACACCTGGGCCAGTTGTGGTGCCACCTGCTCTGAATTCCAACCAGTCTTCTCAAAAGTGTTTCTCAGGAACCAGTCACAAAAAGACAAATACTGTCTGATACCAGTCATATGAGGTACCCAGAGCAGTCAAATTCATAGAGACAAAAAGTAGGATGGTGGCTGCCAGAGGCTGTGGGGAGGGAGGGAATAGGGAGCTATTCAATGAGCAAAGGGTTTAGACTGTGCAAGATGAAAAGGGTTCTGAAGATGGATGGTGGTGATGGTTGCATGACAATGTGAATGTACTTCATGTGACAGAACTGTACACGTACAATGGTTAAGATGTACACGTAAAATGGTAAAATGCTTACATATTCTCACAACTAAATATGTTAAAAGTCTATTTTGGTTTTTGTTTTTGAAACAGAGGCTGGAGTGCGGTGGTGCGATCTCAGCCCACTGCAACCTCCACCTCCTGGGTTCAAATGGCTCTCACGCCTCAGCCTCCTGAGTAGCTGGGATTATAAGTGTGCACCACCACACACGGTTAATTTTTGTGTTTTTTGTAAAGACAGGATTTCGCCATGTTGGCCAGGCTGGTCTCTAACTCCTGGCCTCAGGGGATTCACCCGCCTTGGCCTCCCAAAGTGCTAGGATTATAGGCATGAGCCACCGCGCCTGACCCTTAATGGTATTTTATAATGAAAACTCTTCCTAAAGATAAGACTAGTGAGACTGGCACAAGGAGGAGTTCAGTAGGCAGAGCTCGAGTCATCCTTGACCCCTGGGATAATGTTTTCTTGACTCTGTCATTTTTTTGAATTTACCCTAACCTAAAACGACCACTTCTGAATTTCTTCCATGAGCGTTGTTGAAATACACATGGTGAGTTTTGTCCCTTTATGCACAGTTGAGAGCAGAACTGACCCTTTCCCTTTTCTTCTGAATTACAAGTTCTGGGCTTCTAGGCCAAGACAAGCTGACACTTTGCCTGGCTGCTTCTTTAATTCAGAAGGCCCTGGAGTGCTGAGGCACATGATGAGCACCGCTGGGATTAGGGTTACCAACTTGTCGTTTTCAGGAGACTTTCTCAATGTCAACACTGAAAGTCCCACGTTCCTTCCAAGAATCTCTCAGCTCAATGCAAACTCAGCTAATAGGACTAGTCACCCTACTAGTAGTCCTAAATCTTAGGGGGACCAAATTCGGGGGAGAGTAGGGGAAGGAGCAAGAAAAAGACTAGAAAAATCGGAAAGCTGTGCACGGTGTCTATGACTTTTGATGGCCCTCAAGGTTACCATGGATTTCTGATTCTTACTTTGAGTTCACTGTGATTATAATGATGTGCTTAATTCCCACCAGAATTATCAGTATAATAATTAAAACCAACAAATGTGAACACGTCTCTAGTACCATGCTACTTCACTACAAGTATTATGTCATTTCTTTCTGACTATAATTCTCTAAGGTAAACATTATTATTAACCCTATGGTAAGAAGTCCCACTAAAGATATAACTTATGCTTTCTCAGGTCTAGAGAGAAAGACACCAAAATGTCACCCTGACCATCCTTGAGAAGATAAATGGCCAGGCACGGTGGTTCATGCCTGTAATCTCAGCACTTTGGGAGGCCAAGGCGGGAGGGGGTCAGAAGTTTGAGACTAGTCTGTTCAACATGGTGGCACCCCATCTCTACTAAAAATATAAAAATTAGCCAGTTGTGGTGGTGCACACCTGTATTCCCAGCTACTGAGGCACGAGAATTGCTCCAGCCCGGGAGGCAGAGTTGCACTGAGCTGATCATGCCACTGCACTGCAGCTGGGTGGCTGAGCAAGATTCTGTCTCAAAAATAATAATAAAGACGACAAACTTTTGGAGTATTAAAGGCCACTCTTCCTCTGGAGATATTCAAGGTAGCTGCAATTTAAGCGTGAGCCAATTGCTTTAATGTTCAGGAAGAATATGATCAAAATCATTTAGGGGCTGGGACCTCCTCCTATAGACAATGAAGGCAGCTACCCTCAGAAGCTCTATTATACTGGAAGAGAGATGTGAGACCCTTCTTGCTTTAAGAATCAATGAAGCCGGGCATGGTGGCTCAGCCTGAAATCCCAGCACTTTGAGAGGTGGGCAGATCACCTGAGGTCAGGAGTTTGAGATCAGCCTGGCCAACATGATGAAGCCCTGTCTCTACTAATAACACAAAAATTAGCGGGACATGGTGGCACACACCTGTAATCCCAGCTGCTCCAGAGGCGAGACAAGAAAATTGCTTGAAGCCAGGAGGTGGAAGTTGCAGTGAGCCGAGATCACACCACTGAACTCCAGCCTGGGAGGCAGAGCGAGACTCCATCCCAAAAAAAAGAAAGAAAGAAAGAAAGAATCAGTGAGAAGGGGTTGCCTGACCCCTGGTGGTGTGGATCCTTCAGGAAGGAAAGCAAACAGAGTTTCCAAGTCTACAAGGGTTCCAAGTAACCCAGCCTACTCTGAAGACCGTTGCAGGACAGCTCTTCCAAACTACTGAGCTCTAAGAACTGGAACCCTGGAAACCCAAGCAAGAGGACACGCGCAGCTGGACCAGGCCCGGAAGAAGGAAATCATCCTCCCTCAGAGATCCACAGCAGCTGGGAACCTGGATCTGCAGACCCACTTGGTTTGATGGTACTGTGTGGGACCATCTGTCAACACTGACACCCTGTGGCAGTGACAAGCAAAGGCAGCAGCCGGCTAAGCCTCCAACTCTCCCTGCTGGAACTAGAAAGTCCAAGTGGCCCCCTTCTTCCCTCCCTTTTTGGTTTGTTTTGTTTGTTTTGTTTTGTGTTTGTTTTTGTTTTTATTTTCTTCAAGATGGAGGTCTCGCTCTGTTGCCCAGGCTGGAGTGCAACGCCGCCATCTCGGTTCACTGCAACCTCCGATCCCCGTGTTCAAGCGATTCTCCTGCCTCAGCCTCCCCAGTAGCTGGGATTACAGGTGCACACCACCACGCCTGGCTCATTTTTCCCTTCCTTTTTGGGTTCACTGTGCTTCAAGGCACTGAGGCCATGAGGCAGCGTTTGCAGATAAAGGATAACTACAGCCCTGATGCGGCTGATCCTGACACTGAAATGGCTGTGGATCCCCGGATGGTGCAGCTCTATACTCCTGTCTCTGAAACCTGCTTCTTAACTTACTTCCCCAAATGCTCAATTCAGGGAAGGTATGATTTACCTTAGACTCACCGGATGAGAGAGCAGTAGCTCCACCTAGTGGAAACATCCAGGTTGAAAACGTCATGTTCGGGGATGATGCTATTTTGCAGAGTCAAGATATTTCATGTCCCTCCAGGAAGCCTTCCTTGATCTGAGTTATGCTTTCTCTTAACAATCTGCTTTCCCAGTCATAGGAGTTCATGCACAAATGTAATCTCCTACTTGTTTGTCTAGCTTTCCTAATAAACTTGTAGAAGCCAGGGACAATGTTTTGTTCACCACTGTATCCCCACGGCCTTGTATGTGGTGAAACCAAAGGGTTATTTTTATACTTAATCTGTAACACCAGACTCAGAGGAGGTCTGAGAAGAATGGGAAAATGTTTTCCCTCTGCTGTCTGATGCCACGATTTTTTCTAGCTAGTATCTGCAATTTGGAAGGCTACGCACCTCTATCTGGAAATCTGAAGTTTAGTAGTTTTGTTTCCTTTGTTTTGTTTTTGGGACAGGGTCTGGCTCTGTTGCCCAGGCTGGAGTGCAGTGCGTGATCTCAACTCGCTGCAACCCTCTACCTCCCACGCTCAAGTGATCCTCCCACCTCAGACTCTCAAGTAGCTGGGACTACAGGAACGTGCCTGTATACGTGGCTAAGTTTTGTACTTTTTGTAGAAATGAGGTTTTGCCAAGTTGCCCCGGCTATTCGCAAACCCCGGGGCTCAAGTGATTCGCCCGCCTCAGACTACCAAAGAGCTGGGGTTACAGGTTTGAGCCACCGCCCCTGGCCTGAGTTTCAGTTTTGAAAGCAGGTCAAATAGGCTGCTGCCCTGAGCTAATGCACACCCTAACCTGGGCTGGTTGTTTATGCTATCGACATGGTGTTTTTTCCTTAGAAATTGTACTTAAAGTTATAAAATGCAGCCGGGAGCGGTGGCTCACACCTGTAATCCCAGCACTTTAGGAAACCAAGGTGGGTGGATCACGAGGTCAGGACTTCAAGACCAGCCTGGCCAAGATGGTGAAACCCTGTCTCTACTAAAAACACAAAAAATCAGCTGGACATGGTGGTAGGCGTCTGTAATCCCAGCTACTTGGGAGGCTGAGGCAGAGAATGGCTTGAACCAGGGAGGTGGAGATTGAAACGAGCCGAAATCGCGCCACTGCACAACAGCCTGGGTAACAGAGCAAGACTCCATCTTAAAAAAAAAAGAAAGAAAGAAAAAGTTATAAAATGTAACCATTTGACATAATAAGAACTTTCAGAAGGTAATGGAAATGCATTTGAATATCATAAAATCACTTTTATTTTTACCATAGCAACATTTCAGTGAACATTTCTTGACTGATTTGGAAGAAAAGATCTGGTTTTATGATTCCTCATGCCTTCTCCGAGGGTGAATATACTCTTTCCCAAGGACAGGGAAGGAAGCTGAATCATAAAATCGTATGAACATTTTCACAAGAGGATTCCTCTTGAAGCTTCAGGGACATTGTTTGCAGACAGATGAAAATATGTACTTATTGATGAAAAGGGAGAATAAACATTGGAACTGTAACCTAGACGCGCACCTGGGTAAAAAAAAAAGAAAACTGGCAAATGAGAACTCACAGTTGATCTCTCTGTGAAAAGGAATTCAGAGATGTTTGGAGTGCCTAACCTATGAGGCCAATTCCATGGAAGAACTCTACCTTCTACTTCACAGACAGAACACTGGGCTAGATAGGATGCTTGTCTGGCCCAAAGTGGAATTTCTTACCATCTGTATACTCCCCCAAGACCCACAACAGATGGTTACTGAGTTGAAGCTTGCCACTGATCCTTAGTGATGTCTCTGGGAGCTGGCACTCCAGAAGCCCAGGTCACGGGAGCAAGGAAAAGTGGAGATGGGAACAGAGCTCTGACTCCTAGCCCCATATTTGATACTTACTCCCTTCAAAGTCCTGTCCCTGGAGTACAAATTGAGTTCCCAGTTAGAAATCAGAAAACCATGAAATATGAGTTGCATTTCTAAGATGTGCCTGAATTTAGTATGATGTTTAAGAGAAAAGGGCAGTGGGAAGCATGAGGAAAGGACAGATTCTTTTTTTTTTTTTTTTTTTGGATCTAAGAGTGGACTGATGATGCAACTGGCAAGGCACAAGAGGCCTTCTTACAAATCAAACATTGAGACTGAGATTCCTAATGACTAGAGTGAGCTCAAAAGAGAAAGGTGGCTGGGCGCGGTGGCTCACACCTGCAATCCCAGCACTTTGGGAGGCCGAGGTGGGCGGATCACTTGAGGTCAGGAGTTTGAGACCAGCCTGGCCAACATGGTGAAACCCTGTCTCTACTAAAAATACAAAAATTAGCCTGCTGTGTTGGTGTGCACCTGTAATCCCAGCTCCTGGGGAGGCTGAGGCAGGAGGATCGCCTGAACTCGGGAGGCTGAAGTTGCAGTGAGCCAAGATCGCATCATTGCACTCCAGCCTAGGCGACAAAAACAAGACTCCATCTCAAAAAAAAAAAAAAAAAAAAGAGAGAGAGAGAGAAAGGGAGCTTCTGGACATATTGGACACATGGGACATGGGGGCCTGAAACACTGTTTTACAGACAGAAGAACACAAAGGGTAACGTAGCCTGCCATTCTGTTTCTTCCTTTCTCCTCTATCCCTTCTTCCTTGCCTGGGAAACCACAGTAGCAGAAGTCTCATTCAATCAAATAGCTGTCAATTATATGAGTTGTACTTTTCTCTTCCTCAACAGCAAACTGGCTTTCCTCCTCTTTGTCCTCCTCTCTCTGTCTATAGCGTAATTTCCTCCGGTCCACTTTGCAGGGCCGATAGCTCAAATACAGTGCTATGGTGATGACACCCACTCCAAGGGCAACGGTAATAACGACAAAGAGGGCAGAGCTGATTCCTTCATCCAGTCCTGTCCAAGCACAGAAGACAGAGTTAGGAAGGTCTGAAAGTTGAGGATCACCCACCCCAGCCTACCAGGCCCACTTCTGAGTCTCATTCTTCCCAACCTAGTAGAATCTTTCTTATTTTCATCCTTGGATAAGAATTTCAAACCCCTGAGGGGTTTCCATCCTCGGCCTTGCAGCAGGGCAGCAAAGTTTACCTTGAACAATGACAGCAATGTCACCACAGTCAACCACTTCTAGAACCGTTTGCTTGTTTGCTTGCTTGTGTTTCTACAGCATCGAGTGATAGATGCTTTTAAACTCAAGGGTGGAAGAAGTGCAGGTGAGGATGTTCTTTCCTGCTCTCATCTCTGGGGGCATCTGATGCTTGTGACCTCCAGATGACAGTGAAACAACCCCAACCCTGGGATCCAGGAGACAGGAGGCTCAGTCCTGACCTTCTCTGCCTTCACCTTGTCCTGCTGTGAGGTTTCCACAAGGCACCCCATGCCACTGGGCCATTCTCACCTGGGTATAGAGAAAGAACAATCTGTCCCTTATGGAAAGACAAAATGAGGCAAAGATCCGCTTGTGTTGGAGGCAGGATCCCTGCACTCAGAGGGATTTAGAAGCTGAAATTACTGGGTTGGGAGCGGTGGCTCATGCCAGTAATCTCAGTATTTTGGGAGGCCAGGGAGGGTGGATCACCTAAAGTCAAGAGTTTGAGACCAGCCTGGCCTACATGGTGAAACCCTGTCTCTACTAATAAAGTACAAAACTTAGCCCGGCATAGTGGCGGGCGCCTGTGATCCCAGCTACTAGGGAGGCTGAGGTGAGAGAATTACTTAAACCCAGGAGGTGGAGGTTGCAGTGAGGCAAGATCATGCCACTGCACTCCAGCCTGGATGACAGAATGAGACTCCATTGAAAGAAAGAAAGAAAGAAAGAAAGAAAGAAAGAAAGAAAGAAAGAAAGAAAGAAAGAAAGAAAGAAAGAAAGAAAGAAAGAAAGAA